ACCTATGTCCAGGAACAGGCCCTGTCAATCCCCAATGTTCATATTCCTCACATTACTTCTGTCCCAGCTGGGGCTGTGAAACCCTTGCCACCTGGGGTGGAGATAGGGACAAGTTCCTAAAACTAGAGGACAGCAGGACCCACCACCTGCACAATAGGACAGTGTAACCCTCTTTCCCTCCAACCCGGGGATAGAAGCCACTCCTCTTAGCTCACAGGCCGGACTTAGGGAATTTGGCTCTATCTAACTAGTTATGATACTGGGACTCTCCTTACCAACCAGAAGAGACCTAACCCCAGCCCAAATCTCCCTACCTCATTGTTCCAGGGAGGATACCCCCTTTTTTTCTATCATAACTGGGGTATCTTGTATATGCCCCATACATAAAATTGTCTTGTGCCAAGATCCTGACATACTGGGCTGAGAAAACCCTCTCCCTGGGGCTGCATACTATTAGGCCAGTCCTCCTCTGTCTTATATTAGCCCCTCTTACCTTTTGTCCAGAGGGACCAACCGTCCTCTCACAATCCAGTTACCCACCGCTGTTGCCTGGGGTTTCTGCTCATGCTAAGGTTAGGGCCTCGTAGTGGCCGGTGCCATGGATCTGTCTCTCACCCAGTAGTGTGAGCTAAGCCCTCCCTGGAGAAGAGACCTGGGTTCCCCAAGACATGTGACCAGAGCCGGGGCCTCAACAGCGGGCTAGGGGATCCCAAGGCAGGTGCTGGGCGTGGAGGCCACGGGGGCATAGGCTACTCAGGAGACAGAGCTGAACCTCTCACGGAGGACGTGCCCCTCCCTCACTCGCACACCCCGCTTCACCCTGCTTGGCCCTGGAGGATGGCTGGTCAGCCAGAGACGGGTAGGATTCCTCAGGGAAGGAACAACCTAAGACAGGCAGTCACAGAGGGGCCAACAGAGGTGGGGCACAGACCCTCACCCCCCAACTTTGCAGGGGCCTGAAACCTCACCCCTTCAGAGGGAGGTCTCCTGCCCCCACGGCTGCCTCGCTTCCCACGCCCGGCTCAAATCGGAACCCAGGTCGCAGACAGACCTGGCCAAAGCAGCTGCCCTCTTGTTGCAACAAGGATTTATGTCCCATTTCTCCCTTAGACCACAGGGAAGGGGCAGCTAAAGAAAGGGCTGTGTCAGGGTGCCACCCTCTTCCCTTTGCTCCCAACGTTCTACCCCAACGTACCTGGGATAACAGTATAGGGCTACTAACCCAGCACCCGCAGAGGTACCCCACCCTTCCTTAGACTCGCCCTTATCATAGGTCCCTGTCTCCTTAACTGCCTAGAAATAGAATTAATTCTATAAAATTAATAGTTCTTAGAACCGAGTATAATTCTGTACCCTCCAAGGAAGAATTAAGGATTTCTCATCGTAATTTACAAACAGGAGTAGGAAATGAAGCATGTAACCCTCATTTTTAATCTGTCAACCCTGTTCTATATCCCTGAACAAACAGTTACAAGTTAGTGCCAGGAAATAGCCAACCCTAACGGTTAAACAGTGCTCACCTTGGCTTCTGTACATTGCTTCGCTAGGTTCCCACCCCTCTCCATGCCAACCAGGATGCAGCTTTGCCTTTATATTCTCCCTGTGAAGACTGTTTGGGGCTATGAGTCTGTTTAGGGCATGAGCCTACTAGTAGCCACTGGCTAAATAAATCTCCAAAAGCTTAATTTGGTCTCTGTGTGAATTAATCTCATGAAAACTGGGTATAACACAACAAAGCAGAAGACATTATATCCACAGTTCCAAATCCATCTTATAGACTTTCTATAATAAAAGCTAAAGGCAGGTATAGTTAGGACTTGTCTAGCAATCAGTGTTTTAGTATTTCATGTTATTTTAAATATTTAGATGTTTAATAACTTTTATTATTTAACCCAGCAATGCTCCAAAGCTTTTAAGTTACCAAAGACTTTGGAAAATTATGTATGTCTGAAAAGTTTGAGGGAGCAATCCCCACAACTTGTTCCCAGGCCTGCAGCCATTTGGATTTTAAAGCTGACTTTTGGCAATTTATTACACTATGTCTCAGTGTAGCTTTATTTAGTCCAATCTATGGGTCCTTTTGTGCTCATGGATCTAGATATCCATTTCTCTGCTGAGATCTGAAAAATTTTCAGCTATTATAGCTTTAAATATCTCCCCACCCTTGTTCCTTTCCATTTGGAATTCCCCTAATGCAGATATTATTTCTTCCTCTTGTGTCACATAAGTCCGCAGGCTTTCTTTACTCTTTTTCATTCTTTTTATTTTTGCTTTTCTTATGGGATAATTTCAAATGTTCTAGGGCACTGATTCTTCATTTTGTGTGATTAAGTTTACTTTAGAAACTCTCTGTTTAATTCTTTATTTCCATTATTGCATTTTCCTTTCTTTTTGTAAATTTCTTTTGTTGAAAATATTACAGATGTCCCCTTTTCCCCCAGTGACAACCCTCCACCCTACTTCAGCCCTCTCCCCACTCTAAGTCTTCACCTCACTTTTGTTATGGGTGATGCAGATATGTAAATAAGTTCTTTGATTAATCTCTCCCCACCCACCCCCCTGCCTTCCCTCTGATATTCGTCAGTCTGTTCCATGTCAGTCTGTTCCATGCTGCTTTCTTTTTGGACTAAGATCTACAATTTATTGGGCAACTCTGCAAAGCACTGTGCATCACATACATTATCACAATTGTTTTTAATGGAAACCCTATGAGGTAGGTATTCTTTCCAGATCTTACTGAGAATATAACAGTTTCAGATAAACAAGCTAGTTGGGCCAGGCATGGCTCACTGGTTGAACATAGACCTAGGATCCAGGAGGTGGTGGCTGGACTCCCAGTCAGGGCAAATGGGGGGTGGGTAGGGGGGTGGAGGGCTCCACT